AATCTGAATCTACTTTAGTACATATCTGAATTTACTTGCAAGTTTTAAGTCTCTCTCATTTAGATTTGAAGAGAAACTTTGCAAGTTCCTGGAAAACTCACAAGTCACAACTTGGTAAATATAGACTCATTTCTGATTTATTGATTAATGAAAAGAGATAGCTACTAAAAAATTCTTCAAATCTCTTTATCCATGCAAATTTTGTGTTGCCGATGAATACAAGTAAAACAGAAGTGTACAAAATTTGCAGCAAGTATGGGTTCAAATCATAGTCTAAATGTGAATGGGATGCAAATTTTGTATATAGGTTGGGATTTGCACTAAAGACAAATGGAGACTTTATTTGAAATTTAAATTGTTTTTTTTTTGTTTGGGGGAATAGAATTGGAAGTAAAATGATATGTTTCAAGTTCAGCTGGTGGCTACTGGCTTTCGTGTAATTGAGGATTCGGGTCTTCGATGGGGAATTCATCCTCGTCGTGGTCGGGGATGGAGGAGAATTCCTTTCCCCGATAGGGATCGGGGACGGGGATGGGGGATGATTTGGGGGTCGGGGTTGGGGATGGAGAATGTAATCCCCGCACCGAACCTGCCTCGTTGCCATTCCTAAGAATGTTCTCAACAACATAGGCTATTGGCACCAACAGCCAAAGTTTTTTGCCTCTCATTGTATAAAAAAATGGAATAAAAACGATTTAAAAGCATTGATCTACGATGGGGTTTTGCTCGTGGGAAGTTCTACCTCCACTCTGGAAGGACCAACCTCGGCTTCCTCGACCTCGGCACTCTCAAATTCCCTGACCTCAGACTCATAGTTAGAGCCACTAGAACTGGAAGAAGAACTAGAAGAAGAAGAAGAAGAGGAATGGGAAGACGGGGAAGACATCTTACCAAACTTGAAGCCGCGGAATTAGAGTGAAAGCCAAGCAACGCCAACAACCCCTTGTCGAGTTGTCTAAGCAATTCCTCTTGCGAATGGAGAAGGAGAAATGCCCTTCCTCCCATTCTTATAACCCCTAGAAGCGCAAATCGAAGCTAGATCAATGGTGGAGATCAAGTGCTGCTTTGACGAAGCTCGGGAAGACCAATCGATGCAACTGTCACCACATGCGAGGCCTTGGGAACCGAAGCGACGTTCTTGACAAGCAACAATAAAGGCATTAACTACGCTGGTCCGCCTTGAAGCGCCGGTCCAACCAAATCTGTGGACCTCCACGGTCCAACCAACCACTTGGGTCTCCTCAAGATGCCCAACGACGGACACTGACCAAAGGAGCCCACGTTGCATCCCAACCGAGCACTCCACTCTTCAACTTCGAAGCTAGGGGGAGTGATATTCGGATTTTGAAGTTAGAATTCTTGAAGTTTCGTAGCAGACGATCAAAGAGCTCCTCAGCCACAACCCACAATTGTGCGGATCCCGAATTTTGACAAGCACTGAGGAATACTAAGTAGACCGGATGCTCAACCAGATTTCAACTTGGAGTTCCTCAGCCGAGAAACAAAGCACCTTTTCGCGCTATACTTTGGCCGAGCACTTCATTCCTCGACTTTAGAACTGGGGGAGTGGTGTTCAAGTCATGGTTGAGTTGGCTTTATGCAACACGTGGCCGCCCAGTCATCACCCTCACCCCGGCCACGTTGGCATGGCTCGACCAGCTCCGCGGCATACAGTGACTCCGCGGTTGTGACCGCGCTACGCTATTACCGTAGCCCCCCCATCTTATCCACTCAGCCACATCAGCTATACGTCACATAAGCATGACCAAGGATAGGAGGAGGGATGAGGACAACTCCACTGGAGAATAGGACTCTATCCCAAAAACCTCGGTGATTAACCTCATCTTGACGACTTTGGGAGCCTAATCCGAGTAGGACACGGATCTCTGTCTATAAAAAGGTATCTTTCGCTCAAGGTAAGGGATTCCAATTTCTAGCACCCATACTGTTACTCTGCTCGGACCAACACCCTTATTGCTCGGCCCAACCGTCCACCACTTCCTACTGACTTGAACATCAAAGTATCTACTCGGGGATAACTCCTCGGGTCTCTGACATCCATTCTTGATCGTAGGTCTTGAAGCGTGGCTCCGTCCTAACCACCTCAGCTCCGCCTTGTTTACAAGAACTATCTGACTACCTTCCTCGGTTCATGCAGTACCGAGGATCGAGCAGCATCAACAACCAAAATTTTTCTGAGTTTTGCTCCAGCCTGGCAAGCCAAAATAAACTATTTATTTAATTCATCACCAAAATAAATTAAACTATATTATAATTATTTATTCATTCACCATGTACATTTAAGCAACACTACATTAAATTGAATATTAAACATCATGACTGTGTTTGCTGGCTGTGAAATCGATGATAATGCCCCACTCCAGTCATAAAATTGATATAGATATGACCCACCACCATTTAATCCATGGCTGGTGTGAGGATGTTATGGTTCTACGGCCCATTAGAGAGCCATTGTATTCAATTCTGGATTTGTTATTCACACGGCACTCTTCACGCCAATCTCACAGCATGTTCCAGTTGCATCTCCCATACTTGGATGTTATTCATCGAGAGATATATTCAATGCATTGTGGGATGGTCTGTGAAGGTGGCGTGAGCACTTTATGAGAAGTAAATCCCCATTTCCTGTAAGTAAAAATTCTGTGCATACAGAATCCAACCACATACTGGGAATATCTCCTATTCAAGTATTTTAAGTATATTGTTTTTTCTTTTTTTTTGATAAATAATGTTCATTTATATTAAATATATGAGGAGATATTTCCAATATGTGACAGGATAAATTTGATGACTTAGAATTTCAAGTAGGACATGGGATCTGATGCTAAGAACACGTAGCAGGTGGCAAATTTATGACCCATACATTTTTGAGAAAGCTCAAATGCGAAATTCATTCACCATTACTCAGTCAGAAGGTCAGATACAATAGTATGTAGCCTAGAAAAAAAAAGATTTCATGACCAAGCACATATATGAACCGGTCCATGTGGCCCCATTTTTACATAATTTCTGCTTAGAAGATTTTAGACTAATCTGTTACAAGTTAAAAGAGTTAGTGGCAGAAGAAAAAGGACTTTTATGGAAGTAAAAAAATGGTTTTAATGATGGATATGACACTATACAGACGACCCCATAATATAGTTGGGACAAAGCGATGGTGATTCATCATCTTTGGGCCAAAATACCAGCTTGTTAAGAATGTTTTGACCTTCCCAGATAAATGCATTTAAATGAACGGTGGACAAGGTTTCTTTTTTTTTTTTTTATGCCCAAATCTGATGATTTATGCTGTGTTTGGTAAGATAAGAAAATAATAGAGAATCCTTCAATCGTTGACAACTTTCCCCCAAATTCCTTCCTGTTTGTTTATTATTTTCTATCAATCTAAAAGTTGTTTGATTAAATCGATTCATAATTGGTTATTTGGTTATGATTAAGAAAATGGATAGCTGGCAAGTTAGGCCCAGACAAACTCCGGATATTCTACAAACAAGACGTGTGAGTTGTGACGCTCCCAAGCCCAATATCTTCCATGTGAGACAAAAGGCCCACCCAGAACTCCACTCCGTCTGCTTAAGCTTTAAACAGTTTAAACCACGTTTAGCAATTTGCAATATCTTCTAGATTGTCAATTTGTCAATTCCCATTTCCCAGAATTTAAGACCATTCTCCCAGGTCCCAGCTAATTCTCTCTTAGGCCTCACACATAAAAAATAAGCCCATTAAATATAGGCTTCGAGATCACCGATTATTTTACCAAGCCCGAGATAAAATTTTCATACGACATAGGCGAATCAGCTTCATGTATATCTCTACTTCTCTACTCTACTCTCAGGAGAGGAGAAAGGAGAGAACAGGATTTGCTGGGATGCATGACGTCATAGTCATTTAAATCAACAGCGTGAATTCTTGTGGTATTGCTTATTTTATTTTTAAAGACTAAGGCGGTGTTTGACATGGATGCCTTTGCTCAAAAACACGGTGATACATCAGCGATATATTTAAAAAATTGGTGCTCCATAAAGCATGATATATTTGGAACTGTTTTTTCATGAAAAAGGTATTTCAAACCATGTTTTGAAAATCGAAAAGGTGTGATTTAGGAAAACATAAATTTGATGTTTTTTCAATTTGGAATTCGTTGTTGATAATAAGGATATGATGTGGCAATGATGTGGACTTTCTATTATGGGTACCAGTTGTCAAAATAGATATAAAGCATTGGTATTAAATAAAAGGTGATGGTTTTGTCTTAAAAAATGTCCTATTTGAAAGCAACGTTTTCAAACAGTTAAAAGAACATCATTTTTTCAGTGTTTATTTGGCATCAATATCGTTGCTCCAAAAAATAGCAATACATTAGCACTATATCAGAAAAATGGTGCTCTAAAAAATATTTATTTATTTGGAGCCGTTTTTTCATAAAAAAAATGGTGTTCAAACCACATTTTAGAAACCAAGAAAGTATAATTTGAAGTAATATAGAATTTGATATTTCCTTAAGCTACAATTCATTAATACCAATAAAAAGTAAGATAGCAATGATGTGGCACTGGAACATATAGTCCAGAAAACTTTGCTGAAACATATAGTCCAGAAAACTTTGCTGTATACGTAGCATCGATGACAAAACATATACTAAAAATTGGAGTTTCGAACAAGATTTTAATTAGGCATTAGCTCGCAATAGAAGCTTTCACGATGATGATGATGAAGATGATCCATTGGGCATCAGCTGTGGGGTTTTTCTTTATTGTTTTTTTTTCTTGCTAGCCCTGGACCCCTGGTTGGTACAATTCAATAGTCAACGTTCAATAGGTCAGTTTTCACTTTTTCAGTGTTTTATTGATTTTTTTTAATTTAATTTTGTTTTCGAATAATACTGAAGATGAAATTGCAGTAAACGACAGAACTTTTTCCTTTACTTTTACACCCATGTGAGCAGCCCTCGAAGGATGTGACCACTCTATCTATACAATATATTGAAAAGCTTTGCCGTTGGCCCGTTGCCGACCCCTTGTCCCGCCAATTATAACAACACTTGAAGGTGGTTTCTGGATATCTGATAATGGAGCATTTTAGCAGGAGTGGTGGTTTTCAGGTAAAAGATATTCTTCTTCTTTGTTAGAGGAGGATCTTATTTTCTCTCTCTGCTTTCTGGGTTGTTGTTGTTTCGGCTTGAAAGGTGAGATTTCTAGAAATATTGGCAACATGGATGATATTGATACGAGTTTCAGGCAAAAGGTGAGATCTTTGAGCTTCATAATCATGACAGGCGGTGTTAGAAGAATTTGATTTTCAGTAAAAACCTTGGATCTTTCGGCTGTTTTAGGAGGTTTGTGGTTTTGGTTTTTGCAATTTTTAGCCAAAGTTAGGGTATATGGTAGCTTTTGAAGAAAATGAGGGTTTGGTTTCTGTGAGCTTCGGTCTAGTGTGATATACATTATGGGCTATTTCTGTATTGTCTTATTTTCAATCAAAAGAATGTGATTTTTAAGTTCTATGTGGGATTGTTGGGATTCTCTCTCTGTGAAATTTGGGTGGAAGTTTGTAGTTCTACAGTGATTGTTGGGATTGTTTCGAAGTAAAGATTAGATGTGATTTACAGGCAAAGATGAGATCTTTGAGCGGTTTAGGGATCGGTCTTAGTCTGGTTTTTGGTTGTCTCCTCTTAGCTCTTGTTGCAGAGTTCTACTACTTGCTATGGTGGAAGAAGAGAATCACCAATAGGGAAATTGAAGAGGATTATAGCAGCTCTACCAGAGAACTTTTCTATCTGTTCTGTTGGAAGAAACCATCTCCGTTGAGTTCCACGGCTCTGAACCCTCAAGAACTCTGTACTACCGTGAGAATCACAGACGCCCATGTCCATGAACCAGACACTCAAGTTCACCTGCATTCAGGTTCAAGCAAGGATTTTATGCTAAAACCCCTTGGAGAAGATAGCATGGACACAGAACTCATGAGGCTGCATAATCTCTCAGGTCCCCCAAGGTTCCTCTTCACCATCAAAGAAGAGACAAAGGAGGATTTGGAGTCTGAAGATGGGAAATCTAGAGGTGATAAAAGCCGAAAAGGGTCAAGAAGTAGGAGTTTGAGTGATCTCCTCCTTACGGTGGAGACCCCGTTTCTGACACCTCTGTCGTCTCCCCCCTTTTTCACTCCTCCTCTTACTCCCGTGGACCGTTATTACCACCACGGGTTCAATCCTCTCTTTGAATCGTCAACCGACTCAGAGTTGAACAGGATAAGGTCTTCTCCTCCTCCAAAGTTCAAGTTCTTGAAGGACGCAGAGGAGAAACTGTACAGAAAATTGGTGGAAGAAGCTGAGAAAAGGGCCAAGAAAAATGTTGGGTCTGTTCAAGATGATGTGGTGAAAGCTCCTGCATCAACTATCCCAGAGGAGGAAGATGGGTCTTTTATCACAATTTTTGTTGGCAAGAACGAAGAGAAAGAGCTTCTTCATCATCATTTACCACAGTCCCATTCAAGTTCTTCACAGGTTCTACCACTGGCTTCTTCCCCATCAACGGTCAGACTAGCTAACAAGAAACCCATGTTCCATTAGAGTTGCATAGATTCAGATGAAATGAAATGGGCTTTGATGTTTCTTTTCTTCTTCTTCTTCTTCTTCTTCTTAATTCTGTCTTTTCAATTAATCATTATTATGATACCTGCCTGTGAACTTAGTAGAAAATCTTGCCTCTGGGTTCTTCTCTATTTGTTTCTTAGTCAACATTATGCAAGATAGAAGTAAACAACATTCTCTGCAACTTGCTGGGGAGAGCTCGAGACTGCCTGGTGCCAGTGGGAGATTTGTGGGGCTGTCCTTTTTTAATTATTATTATTATTATTATTATTATTAATTAATATTATGTTAGGCCAACTCCATGTTTCCCAAGTTGTTGAAACCTATAATCATTCATGTAGGTGGTGGTAAAAAAACAGAAGAAGAAGAAGAAGAAAGGAAAGTTCACTGTAATTCTAGACCATTCTTTTCATTTCTTACATCCATTCATTATGATGTTGTTTAATTTGTTTTCTCTTCAGAGTAAAGTAATAAACCGTAATCCGTAATGGTGAGGTTTTTCATATACTCAAGAAAACCGGCGCACATCCTGTCCATGCAATCAAGGTCCCAACTCCCAAGTCCCAACCACATCTGGAACAAGTGATGGGAACAAAGAACAATCCTGTCTATCCACCGAAAGTTAAAGTTGTAGAATCATTCTTTGGTGAGTTATGATTTGATCCACCCATTATAGAGTTTTCATATATTAACTAGTAAATGGCTAGCCTATTATTTAATTTAATTTAAATAAACCAATGAAGTGACAACATTTGAAAGCGAGAGAAAAAAAAGGAGGGTCATGGGTGTGAGATGTCATTAAGCTTTTTCCTAAACAACAAGGCATGTCGTTGTTATGAAAATGTCGTCCGTGAATTGTAGCCTTACAACTGACCGAAATTTCAAGAATCAGAATACCTGTGCTGTGCTGCANCCCCCCCCCCCCCTCTTTTTTGTTTTTAATTCTCTGTGCTTTTTTAACTCTTAAACGAATACAAGGTTAGAGTTGAAGTGAGGAGAAAGATAATCACGAGTCTGAAAGTGATGCAGAAAGGAAACTTATCCTCCCTGCAAACTCTGCTGTCTGCCTGTCCATAGTCCTTAGTCCACTACAGGATTTCGAATTTGATTCCCATCCGACAATAAGCAAAGGTTGTTTGAATCATGTTCCGTGTTTGGCCGAAGCAGATTGGATAGAAGAAAAAGGTTAAGGCCCCCATGTCCCAACACAAAATTAAATCAATGCCACAACATAAACCTGGCTCTCCTGGAACCAGAAAATCCGGACCCCAAGAAGCGGGGCGATGATGGTTGGTGGGGTCGGGATGGAAAGTGTGAACAAGTGACTAATTGAATTGAGGAGACCGTCATGAGTATACCACGATTGATTGCCATCATCAACTGACATTGAACTTGGTTTTAAATTTCAAGAGAGAGAGAGAGAAGGCAGTGGGCAGAGCTCAGTTGGTGGGTGGTCCGTGGTTGAGGCTGCCAGCAGGAACATTATTTTTTGTCTGGTTTCCACAAGTTGCAACCTGCAATTTGAATTGTCCCCTGCTTCTTACTTAGGTCAGGTGAGGTCCCAACTCCCAAGTCTCCCATACCAACTTTTTTCTCTTGGCTTAGCCATCTGTGAATGAATTCAAAACTTTTATTTTTATTGTACTTAAAAGATTGACAAAAGGCACAACAATTTCTTCTGTTTTGTGAAAGATAGATTATAAATTAGCTTCGGCCTTTACCTCAATATTGTAGAGCTTCAGCCTCCAGGTGTTTGCAATGAAAGCTGGATTCCAATTCCATTGATTGAGGATTTGGTAGTTCTTGTTTTCTGACAAATTTAACCGTTGATTGTGGATGATTAATGATCATCTATAGCCTATCCTATATATCTCTCATCTGTCATCTCTACAGTGTAAGTGGACACCAGTTGGCAAAATGACTAGTGCAATGCTCTGGAGTCTGGAATCTGATGCTCAAATTTGGCTACTCACCAGTTACCCTCCACAAAACTCAGTGGAAATTGGAATTGATACTTGATCGAATTCCATTTCAGACTTTACACTTTGAATTTTGCGGCATCTTTACTTGAATTTCAACCAATGCAAGGCCTCCTTTTGTCACCAAGAAGCAGCATTATCATACATGAGTTTCTTCAACTTTTTCTTATTATGTGAGTTGTCACTACCATTCTTTTCTTGCTTGCTGTTATTATCTGTACTAAAAATTAAAGAATATACAAACAGAAAGAAAAGTGGGTTTCCAAAGGCTCCATTATTTTTCATTAATTAAAGGAAATCAAATATTTTTCTTAAAGTTTTGGGTTTGACAATAAAAAGGGTTGAAAGAAAAATAGAGTTTTATATATATGGAGCCCTTTACAACCGAGTTCATGATGTTTTTCCTATGAGCAATTATGTTTTGTACAATTTGGTCTCAGGTATATGCCCAAAATGGCTGTACCTACACTTAGAAAATAGGGAAAAGTTTTGTACAATCTATTAAAGAATGAATATAAATATGAATGTAATCAAATTAGTTATCTAGATGATACCATTACCTTTTTTTTTTTTGATGTAAAGATGTCATTACTTACATTCTCATCCTACCAGTCTGAAGCCATGCATGAAATTCCATTTTGTTTTCTGGTTGTCTCCTTTTCTCTATTTTCTTTAGACGGTTAGACCCTCTATCCATAAGATACACTGAGGTGTTCACTTTCACAGGAATGAGTTTTTGGAGCAGTTATTACCTGCAAACTGATTTGGACTTAATTTGTAAGTTGACTAGAAAATAAATAACTATATCTGATTTAATACCAAATTGGTTCAGATTGTAAAAATTGATTGCAAGGCCAATTAGCTATATATATTCATGATCAGCATAACATTCTGGCTTGATTTGTTTAACTCATTCATCCCACTCAGTTGAACCATGCATGGGTACTTAACTGTATAGATATCGATTCATCTTTTTCCTCCAATGAATAAGATCAATCAATTCAGACAACTCAAATCATAAATTATTGGCATATGATGAATTGGGAACCATGTAATTTCGCAACAGCTGTCTGGTTTGGGAGCAGGGTTGGATTTAGAGCATTTGTCGATCAAGATCAAATCAGCCTCCCATAAGATTGCCCCCCACAACGTCCCATGGCACATCCCCGCTGTCTATTGAGAACATCTCCCGATGATAATACCAGAAATGATGATATCATCATTGAGATATGTACTGTGGGACATTGTGGGGGGCTGATTAACTCTTGCCAATCGGTTTGCCGAATGGTTTCTCTCTAGTGCAGGGGAGGGAGGGGACTAGTATTGTGTAGATGTTAGGTTAGGGAAGCGAATTTGGCAACTGATCTCATCCTATGGGAAATTTAGGTTAACTTCCCTATCTCCTTTCCCTAATCGTAGTAGCTACACCCACTACCTCCCCTTGTTTCTTTTATTCATTTTTTTTTTGTAAATATTGAAAGAATTTGAACAAATCATCAAAATGGAAACAAATAAAAGACTATTGGGTGGTTGCCAATGTATATGATACAAAACAAAACAAAACAGCAAACACATACATAAAGACTGGGTGCCTTTTCGTTTTTTGAAAAGCCCTTAGGTTGATTTATTGCACTAAATCATCAATAAGTACAGGCCTGATAAAGTCAGGAGAGAGGGGCTAGGTAGTAGTCTGAGTATATTACAAGCATATTTAACAATAAGATAGATTATTATTATTATTATTATTATTATTATTATTATTATTATTTATTGGGCGAGATTCTTAGGAGATCCTCTTCACCTATTTTAGGTAAGAAACTTCACAGAAAATCTGTATATTTTCTGTACAGACTCTTGGCAGTTTTTTAGGAAGCTTTATTTTTTAGAAGTTTTGTTTTTAGTAGCTTTGTTTGTTTAGGATGATATTCTGTATATTTTCTACATATTCTTTTTGAATAGTTAGCAATTTTAGGAAGTCTTTTTGGTTATAGAAAGTTGCTCTTAGGAAGTTTTTGATTTAGAAAGTTTTGTATTAGGAGCAAGAGACTCCATCGAACTTGTATATATACCACAAGATAACACTGAAAAGAGTGAACTTTTTGGCTCCCAAAATTCTTTCATGGTATCAAAGCCGAACCTGGTGATCTACCCAACCTCAGACAAATCTTGTTGATCGGTCACCATGGTTGCCAACAACGACAAGAATAGTGAGAGCTCGAGTAGGTTTATTGGACTGTCCTCTCCTTTCTATTTGCATCCCTTAGATAATCCTAGAATTATTATTAGTCCAGTGGTCTTGAGAGGAGATAACTACAACGAATGGGCAAAGGCGATGAGAACTACTTTTTGTGCTAAAAACAAGATCAGTTTCATCGAAGGCAAGGTCACAAAGCCGGAGAACAACACTCCGGAGATGGATCTTTGGTGGATTGTGAACTCGATGTTGGTGGCTTGGGTTTTCAATACTGTCGATCCATCACTGCGTTCAACTATCATGTATATGGAGACGGTAAAAGAACTTTGGGATGATTTGAAGGAACGATTCTCAATCGGCAACGGACCACGAATTTATCAGATTAAATCCGAGCTTGCTAACAGCAAGCAACATGGATAGATTGTGGTTGCATATTACGGAAAATTGAAGGTACTGTGGGACAACTTAGGAAGCTACTCTAAGGTGCCTGTGTGTACATGCGAGTGCAAGTGTGGAGCGGCAGCTGAGTTAGTTAAAGAAAGAGAAGAAGAGAAAATCCAATTTTTTATGGGTTTAGACGATGATATATTTGGAACTGTGCATTCCAACATATTGAGTATGGAGCCAATTCCAAATATGAACAAAATTTACTCAATGATCATACAAGAAGATCGACATCGACCGTTGGCATGAGGTAAGGAGGAACGAGCAGATGTTGTTGGTTTTGCAACACAAGCCTCGTTGATATCGCGAGACAGTAGGGCCGCTTCATAAGACAAATCAATTGTGTGTAACAATTGTGATCGATCTGGCCATGAAGCAAAGAATTGCTTCCAATTGATTGGATACCCTGAATGGTGGGGAGACAGACCCCACGGTACGTCAGCCGGACGTGGAGTGGGATGAGGAAGAGGGGGAGGATCCTCTGGTGGACGAGGCCGAGGTACGACAAAAGCTC